CCTCTCCTTGGCGACCCAATTCAGGTCAGAAAAACAAATTCAATTTTATTTATTCTCATATTATTCACTCCTTACACCTTATCCCCCTCCCCCCCATTTTTTAATATGGCATATATCATTAGCAGCAGCAACTTAAGATGGTAAATGTGAGAGTGATAGGTTCTAAACATACTAGTAAAAACTTCTACTAAGGAGTTTGAATCCTTCGCCTTGAAATTGTCTATGAGAACCTTCTTTCTGTTGACTTTGTATGATTTGTTTTTATTCATTTTCTATCACAAGGATAGACCGCCAACAACTGGATGCAAAAGCAGGTGCTGGGAGGGGGTATTAGTTGGAGTTTCAATTTTCTTGATCAATATGCGGGCAGTTTCGGCCGCTAATAAAATATTATATAGTTTGACAAATTCTATCCCTTTTTCCTTATCCAGTTCTAGAACACTTTATTTGGTATAGAGCAAGCTTGATAATTGTATATGGGAAATGGATGTACTGTAATCGAGCAAGCTTCTTGAATTTCAATGATTGTTACAAGAGTGTGTTGCACAGGGCATTAGTGAATTGCAGCGAGGAGAGGATCTCTATCTCGACTTTCTATTGCCCATCACCGGATGCAGTGATAGGACCTGCTCAGCAGCTGATTGACGAGGATCATCCTCCTCTCTATAGGAACTATTTATACAGTGAATATTACCAGAAATTCTGGAACAGAGGGCTTAACTCCGAAACATGTTTGGACATGTTTAAGAATTAATACCTTCATAAATCCTAAAGAACCATGTCTGCTCCTTTTCAACAGAAATAAGGAATTTGTTGTAATTGTTAGTTGTCACCTAGTTTATCAGAAAAATCAGTGTCTAGTCTGTCTTGCTTTTAATTTCCCTAATAAAAACAGAGGATTCTCAAGACTTTTAGATTCAGTTCGAGTGATCACAAAAGAAGATGATTATTAGCATTAAAGAGTAGGGCTACAAGGAGGAAAGGAAACACAAGAAAAATAGCAATATACATGTATTTGATTGTCCAGGGCAAAAGCACATTATTCAAGTTTTCTCCGGTTAGAACTTGTGCTAATTAAAAAAAAAAAAGAAGCGCATTTGCAATCTCCACGAATAATTCTGCTTCACGAACCAAAAGTTCACCCTCATCTCGGCTCTAGCTGCTTCCGATTATTTCTTGGTATATGTCCCTTATTTTCTGTATCAAAGCTTCCCTGAAAATTCAAAGACGTTACCCATTGTTAGGTAAGATTAAACATAATAAACGAAATGCAATTGGACTTGCACTTACCTGTCCGGTTTGAAAACGAGGTTCTTGTATGCAAACCACTGTTAAACACAAACAAATGTAAATGTTACTTCACACATTTGTAATGCAAAAGTTAATATTGCGAGTACATAACATGTCTACTGCATAAACCCATCCTTGCAATCAAAAGCAAGAAGAGATAGGTTATATAATAGGGTTAAACCTTCTTTTTTTCACCAAATTGCTCTCTAAATAACTCAGAGTTTAGACTTGAGACATCCGTTTCAAGTTCTTACAAGTTAAGACAGTCAGGGCAAAATATGATATAGAGTTGCTTGTATTGAAGTTGCAGTTAAAAACAACATTGAAATCCAACTCACCCCTGTGTAGCCAATGCCAACAATCTCCAGAGCACCGGGAATCAAAGGAAGCCTATCAATTGCCTGTTGGGAAAACAAACACTTTAGCCTTCAGAACTGAAGACTAGAAAGCAAGAAATCAGGGAATTCTATTTTATATGTATGCATTTGAATTTGAAGGACCTTACCGAGATCATCCCGGTAGATCCCCAGAGGGCAACAACGCCAGCAAGAGCAAGTGAGGTCACAGCATATTTGTCTTCAACCTTATCCCACTGCAATTCCAAAGGAAATTAACAAACATTACAGCAAA